CTCTGAGTGAACACATACTTGCAACTTGTCTCTAGAGTTGTCAGTTTAGATTGTAAACTCTTAGAAAAAAATAGAAGGGACTTAAAATGAGAGAACCTTTGAACTGAAAAAAATTAGAGCTCATCTGATTTTACTTTTATTTAAAATGTTTTATTTTATGTTTTTTTTTATATGGTGCCTAAGCACACGATGTAACCAATCACCATGCAGAGATAAGTAAGAGAGGGGACATGCCAAAATGTGATACTGTGGTGGGACTCCCTCAGTTCAGTTAAGAACTTGTTACTCTTTACTCCTAGAGCCCCTTGAACTGTAGTGGCAGTACAAGGAAAGAGGAAGTTGAGTTTGTGTGAAATCTCTGGGAAGGTATGCCCAGGAGGTGACGTATGGACACGTCTATGAGCAGGTAATAAAAGGATGGTTCCTGGCTCTTCCAAGTAGGCAGAGGTGATATCCAGCCAGTCTTCCTCACCCTAAGATCAACTAATGACCTGCCGGTGCAACAAATCTTATAGAGACATGCCAATCAGTTCTACTTCTCCGAAGAGGTGACCTAGGAAACCGCCTAACTCATGTTAAAAGGCAGGATTGAAATTACACTTCCTAATCTACCAAAAATAAAAAATCCTCAATTAAATTCATAAAACTTAACATCAAGAAGACAATCTAACTTCCTGCTTTTTGTTTCTTCTCTACAGTTACAACAAATTCAAGCCTAACAACCTTGCAAATTAGGATCCTTCCTCGAATACCAGAAAATGAACTGGCTGGGTAAAATAGTATCTTACTCTTTTGGCCAGAGTAATTGAATACTTTTCTCTCCTGTGTGTGATCAAAAGGCCAGGGGTTTTAACACACGCACACACACGCACACCCACACTCTCAAGTGGTATCAGAAATTAAAGTTTCAGTTGGAAATTATATTTTAGTTATGTCTGAAAGACTTTAGAGACAGATTTTAAAAAACAGAATACTATGATTTTTCATTCTTTATATTATTTTCACTAATTTTTAAATACTATGGCAATTAATTAAAAAACTTAGAAAAAACAGAACATTTCCTAAAATATACAATCTATTATAGCTGGTAAACCTAAATGAACCTATAGTCACTAAAACTTAAGATATGCTCTTCCCCTTGTTTTCTTTTTACCAAAAAGAGAGGCCCAGATGAGCTCTATCAAACACTCAAAGAACATGTAATCCCAAGAGTTCACAAATTGTTTCAGAAAACAGAAAATAAGAAAGTGCTGCCCTATTCATTTTGAACTGTGTTAAACCTTGACACCAAAGCCATATGTGGATAATATAAGAAAGATTATAAACCAATTTCAACTAATAAGCATGAACACAAAAACCTTAAGTAAATAAAGTTCAGCAAACTGAATCAGCAATGTAGTTTTTTGAAATGACTAAACTGGAGCTTGTTCCCCCACAATACAAGGATAATCTAATATCAGAAAATCTATAAATGTCATTTGCCATATTCACAAGATAAAGAATTGAAGCCATAAGATTTAGAAACTAAATAACACACTTCCTCCACAGATGCCCCACAATCATACATTAAAATAAAAACCCATGCACACAAACAGAAATTCTCACCGAACAGAAACAAAAATTCTTAACCTTATTTTTTAAAGGTCATCTTTGGTTTGGGTACCAAAACGTACCCAAAAAATCACACTAAACTATGAAAAATTAACAGCATTTCCCTGGAAGTTAGGAATAAGACAAGGATGCCTGCTTTTACCCCCTAGTCGCTGTAGTCCTGGCTAGTCCAGTAGGTCAAGAAGAGCACACTGGAAGCAGCAAAATGAAGCTGTCGTTTTTTGCATATTACATGATTACCTTACATGGAAGATCTAAAATAATTTGCAACAGACTAAGAAGTTTCGATAGAGTTGCAGGATACAGAACCAACCTACAAAAAACCAATAATTTTGTTTCCACACTACAGCAGCAGATAGAACTATGAGAACAGTAAACAAAAAAACAAAAAAGAAAAAAATTATGCCAAAATTATAAAATGTCACTAAAAGACAGAGAAAAGACCTAAAAAATTTAACAATATACCATATTTATAGATGAGAAGAATCAATATCAAAATGATTTCAATTCTCCCCAGTTACATTGTAAATGTAGCACGAATGAAAATTCCAACAGAGTTTTTCTAAACCAGAGCAAAGGGCCTGAAGTAGCTGAGATATTGCTGAAGAGGTTGGAACAAGTCAGAAGGAAGCCTTCCCTACTTGCAACTAAGATTTTATTACAAGTTTAATTGAAGACACTGTGATATTTGCATAGAGATGGACAAAAGGACTTGTAGACTAGATCAGGAAGCTCAAAGACGGAATCGTACAGAAACAGAAACTTGACCTATGACAGAGGTGCCAGTACAAACTGAGGGGGGGAAAACATAATTTGCAATAGATAATGTTAGAGTAATTGTTATCTATGTGGGAAATTAAAAAAAATTAGATCCCATTTCACACCATAAAGACAAAAAAGCTAATATTATAAACAAGTATTTTAACACTTTTAGAAGAAAATTCAGGGTGTGAGCTTATGACCACCAAAAGGGAAGATTTTCTTAAGACATAAAAAACATAAAACATAAAGGAAAAGACTGATACATTTGACTACAATAACACAAAAACAAAACGAAAAATTCTCTCCTCAACCGAAGTGAAAAGGCAAGTGGCAGACTAGATGTGTCAACACAGTTAACCAACAAAACAGTACCTAAAATACATCTTTAAAAATAAATTGATGAAAAGCAAGCCACCCAATGAAAAAGTGGACCAAGTACACAAACAGGCATCTCACAGAAAAGAAAACCTATCAGGCCAATAAACTTATGAAAAGTTAGTCAACCTCACTAGCAATGAGAAAATGCAAATTGCAGTAACATTTCACATCCATCTGATTGGCAAACATTTTAAAATCTGACAATACCAAGCGTTGGTAAGGTGTGGAGCAACAGGACTACTCCTGTACGACTGGGAGAAATGCAAACTGAAAGAACCACTTTGGAGAACACTTCGGTAACGTACAGCATTTCCAGAAACACACCCTAAAAGAAGCTCTTTGCAAGGAGATATGTAAGAGGTCGCTTACTTTGGAACTGTTTGTGACAGGGAGAATTGGAAATAACCACACTCTTCCAACAAAATACATAAATAATCACCAAGTATTCATGCGATGGAATTCTATATACAGCAGTTAAAACAAATGAACAAATGTGCATATGCCAACATGGATACATCTGAGAAACAAAGTGTTGAGCAAAGAAAAATTAAAATGTAAGGTGCATAAAGATATATACACTGTGATAACACTTGTATTAAGTTAAAAATGCTGAACAGTATTAAATGCTGTTTCTGTGGATGTGTATAAAGTAAAGGTATAAAAATATTCATGGTGATCATATGTGCCAGTTTGGGTAGAGTGGGTGCCTCTGTGGAGACAGGAAGGGGGGATGGGGTGAGGGAAAAACATTTTCCAGAAGATATTAAACTATGCCTGTAATATTTTATTTCAAAAATAAAATCGGAAGTAAATATGGCATACTAATTTTATTGTATTATTCTCTGTAACTTCCCATGATTGAAATGTTTTATTTAAAAAGTGAATAACTAAGATAAAACTTCAGAAAAGACTATCTTAATGAATGATAAAATTCCTAAGAAATATTCAGATTTCATTAAAATTTAACCATAAAAATGGTCAAAACTCTCATTGTGAAATATAAATACAAAGGTTGATAAAAGTTAGTTTACAGTTGTGGGTACATGAAACAGTTTATTCTTATATTATTACTTATTAATTATTGTATTATTCTCCATATGAACAACTGTAAAGCTACTTTTGCCCACCCCAGATTTCAATTTGAAGTGTGTGTCCATAATACAAATAAGAAAGCTGTCTAGAAATAAACCGTAAATGCCCTGAAGACAGGGGCAAAATATAAAATGTGCCTGTGCACATGTGGGCAAAAATCGGAAAAGAATACACACACACACACAAACTATTTTATTTTTAAAATTTGACTCAGTGAATGAAATATTATTAAAATAAATGTATCATGTACTTCCTGAAAAGTGTTTACTGTAGAAATAACATAGCAGCAGAGATTGAAACAAATAAAGCTCTAGAAATGCAGAGCAAAGAGTAGACAAGTCCTTGTGGGCCTTCCACTGACTTTACCTTTCGGTGAAACGATCCAGTTAAACAAACAGGCGCACGACAAGCTGACTTGGGTCAAATCACTATTACCACCCACTTTTCAAGGGTAATTGCAGTCAAGAACTCGCCCAGGAGAGCTACTTTGCTGTACCTTTAATTAAGGCGGGGCTTTTAAGACTCAATTGTTCCACTCGTGTCTCAAATCAATCAGATGAAATTCACCTTTTACGTGGCCTGAATCCTGATAGCTCAGCACACTCGATAGGTAATTTAATCATCTCTGGTGTAGATGAACGCAAACTCAAATTAGCTACTGAAAGAGTTGGTCTTCTCTGAGATAGCTGTGCTTTTCCACTTTTATGCAAGAGCTGAGCTTCACCAACTGGCTAGCTGGAGGTGTTATTAAAAATTCAGTGAAAGAAACAAAGGTGTGCTCTGGCGTCTCCTGTTACCCTTTCTCCTGTTACCTGGGCAGACAAAAGGCATAGGGCCTGCTTCATGAATAATGTGACATGGAATATTCACCATCTATTTTTAATGGAGTCAAGTAATAAGAGAGATATTTGCAATCTTCAAATTTCACACGGTAACAGGCGCAGTAATTTGTTTTGATTCTGCACTGGGGATATCAAGCGTTTTTGTTTGTGTGTGTGTTCATTTTGTCTTCCAAAAAAGGCAAACCGTGAACACAAAAATTAAAACTCTGCATGCACAGCATAAACTGGGATTATGAAAATGGACCAAAAGTTCTAAATGTCACAAGGGGAGAACAGGACAGGACCGACAAGTAGATTTCAATCAGTTCTACTTACCCCTCCATGCAACTTCTTCACTTTTCAAAGCAGGGAGGAAATAATCAACCCATGTGCGTGGCGAATTCTGTGGGAAGGAAGTTTGTGATCTTTATTCACTGGGAACTTTGCTTCCCAGAGCAGTAGAAAGCGGTTCCGGGATCCTGTAACTGTTTGCCAATCAGTTCTGGAAAATTATCTTAAAATTGCATTACAGAGCACATAAGTTTAAATTTCGAATGAGAATAAACGAACATGGAAAGACATGGTGTTGGAAACCGAGTGAGGGCAGCCAAGGACTGAGATTTTTGCAGAACCTGGAAAGAAGCAGTGCCCAGGCCCCTGTGTCCCCCAGCTCCCTGTCCTCTATGTTCTGTTTGTTTCCGGGGCCTTCGAGCAATTTCCCTGTTCTCTGTGCCGTGCAGAGCCAGCCAGGATCAAGCAGGAGTTTATTCTGTCCACTTAGTCACTTAAGACCTCACCAAATATTTATTGATCTTCTACTGTGTGCCAGGCACTGTCCTAGAAGGTTCAGCAGTACCAAGTAAATAGAACTCCACAGGACACTGTGGTCACTGCTGTATCCCAGCACTGAGAACAGTGCCAGGCACCACTAGGTGTTCAATCAATATGTGTGAGGTTGATTTGAATAGAAATGGACAGTCTGCCGGTGGTCATCATGGGCCATTCATACCCCGTCTGGGAAATGTTAGAAAAAGCACAGGCAGTTGGGATTTAGGCCAGGACCTTCCTCTAGTTGAAGGGATTAATTTGTGCAAGAAATTCCCACAAGTGGGATAGAGCGAGAAATAACTCAGATCCCAATTCTACTACCCCTCATGTATCTTTAGATTTCTGACTTACCTCAGGTGAGGCAGCCAGTCAATCTCAGATACTATCTTTCCTCACTACTCTCCACGGAACCAAAGCAGTCGGAGTTGCAGTGGGATGATACAACCGGGTCTAAAGTTCAAAATCAAGGAAACCAGTGTCAGGGAGGTCGAAGGGTTCGACCAAGTCACACGAGGTACTGGTGGGAGAGCTGTGACTAAGATTCAATCTCTGGACCTAAGGCTTGTGATTTCTTTACTCATTCCAGAGCCTTCTGGCCTATTAAAAAAAACAGCCTTGAAACGCGCCGAAGAGCCTGTGCCCACGTGGGACCACCAGGGAGTCTCCTAGGCTGGAGCTTAGTGTGGAGCCCCTAAATTTCCTACTAAGAAATAAGGACCTCTGAGGAGTAGAAGAAAAGAAAGAAGCACAGGAGAACCAGAGCAACTGGATCTCACTCTCTTCTGGACGGTGGCTCCTCTGTACCACCTCCACAGTTTCCTTCAGGGCCAACTCCCCCTGCGGACTAAAACAAGGGTCTCTCACAAATGCCCTGCGCAAATGAAAAAGCAGTATGTAAGAGTCTTAATACTTTATTAACTTAAAACATCACTCTAATAAATATGTATTAACAAACATAATGCATTTCAGGAGACCTAAAAAACATTTACAAACCTCACTAAAGGAAATGACCACTTCTCTGTGGTACACAGAAGGTGAAGGAGCTGAAGACACAGCCTTCACTCCCGTGTGCCTGCTAGCTTAGACATCTTTTAAAAATCAGCTTAACAATAAAAAAACTGAATATACACACAAATCTTTGAAGTATCTGTTCAGCTATTTTTTTTCTTATGCTTGACAAAAGCCAAATGGGTCAAAAGGGAAGGTTCAAGACTATTTTGCCTTCTCAGAATTCCTTTGGAAGAACAGATCCAGCCACTTGGAGGTACAAATGTTCGTTTTTGAGGTGGGGGTGAGGGGCGGGCACAGAGACCGTGACCTTAATCTCTGGCTCCACAGTACCTAGCATAGGGCCTGGTACCATGGTAACCAGTGGTCAACAAATATTTGCTGTGAAGGGATGATACCATGTCCAAAAGTGGCTGCTCTGTGCTTCCACCTCATCTGATGAAGTCTTCACATGCCTCCTGGAGGCCTCTAATCTCTTAACACCAAGCCCACTTTTTTCCAACTCTTTCTTGGGACAGGCCGTAGAGTGTATCTTGTAATTTCAGAAGTATGCAACTACTTCCCCAAGTCAGTTTCTGAGCCAGTCTTCCAGTGGCAGAAATGATTCCTCCAAGATTTATAGGCAGCACCCAACAGAAAGGGGTTAACTGACTCCCCAGAAGGAAAAAAGAAAAATAACACTCATTCTTCATTCTATATTTTAAAAAATTAGCGTCTGTCTACCTTGTAAAGGTGATTCTTCCTCTTCCACACCAGTATCTGGGGTGGATGGGAAGGAGGAGGGAAGAAAACGGAATGACCCTCCTGATTTTGGAGCAGAGCTGGGAACAGGAAGGACTGAGGGGCCCAAGATTTTATCTGAGCCCCTCTTGACTTCAAATCTTCAGATGTAAAGGAGCCCATTCCTTGTGTCCAAAGTACAGTAAGTCATTTGGTTCCGACTCCAGGACGAACTTTGAAAAGGCAACGTATTCCCTCCGGCAGCTCTGGGAAGTAAGGTGAAGGAGGATCAGCCTGCTGTGATCTGCAGCCTGGACTGGGGGCCTGAGAAGTCAGAAGTGGGTGGTGGCAAGTGGGGAGGCTGCGCTCCCTAGTGTTGTCTTACAGCTGCTTGTGGCCAGCCAGGGCACTCATTTGAGCCCATGCTGCGTCTCCCGGTGCCGCCTGAGATCCACCTTCCTCTGGAAGCCCTTTCCACACAAGTCGCAGCCGAAGGGCTTGAAGCCAGTATGCTTGCGGCTGTGGGTGATGAGGTTGGAGCTCTGGCTGAATGCCTTGCCGCACACCTGGCACTTGTGGGGCTTCTCACCTGCAGGAACGGAGGGGGTGAGGGGAGGAAGTATGAGTCTGTGATGCAGCTAGAGGGGACTCACTGTGACCCACATGCTCTTAGCGGCAGCTGGCTGCACCAGTCTAAGACCTTCAAGTAACTTGGAGGGTGATGTGTTGCAACACAAGTCCTGAGAAGCTGTGGGTGCACCAGGTGAAAGGGAGACTTTCTGAGTGGGGGTTCCCAGCCAAAGGCCTTAAACTGTTTCCTGTTAACAGGAAACACAGCAAAGACCATGTGCCCTCCCAGGCTCGCAGCTGAACCCACCCTGGGAGGACTCCCCTGACTTGAGAAGCAGAGAGCTCCTACAGCAGATGTTCAACAGGAGGGGTGGGGGCTGGGGGAGGCGCTGTCCTTCAAACCATGTGACTGTTCTAATGCAGAGGAAGTTTTCAAATCTGAGTTTCCAAGCTGGGGTGGGGGCTGTGTATAGAACAGTGAGTTTGTCTTCTTCCTTGCTCTTGGAGGACAATAGAATGCATTTGAAGTATGGACATTTCTCAAAGTCTTATTTTTAAACACCCACATTTGAGCCATGAATTATTTCTTGAGTTAGCTGATCCCTTTCTATCTTGATTTTACTTTCTTTTTACGAGGTTAATCAGAAGTTAACTCTTCACCACAGATAAATAAACAACACATTGAAAAATGTTTTATCTTTCCCCCCAATTCATGAGCTGTTTTAACATTTGGGGAAACAGCATGGATTTCTAAATAACCTCAGCGTGGCATTACTATAGTCAGGGCCTGACCTTGGAAAAAATGCAAAATAGACGAAGTTTGTTTTTGAGGAGCCCTCTACTCCTTACACTGCACCCCTTTCTGCCTTCATGCTTCAGATTTCCTTGATAAGCAACCACCCATCAAAATTTATCCTATCTCTTTAGGGTCAAACAAATCTGAGAAACGAATCCTAGCTATAATGTAAATGTTTGATAAGGGCTTAATGTTTCATTCAGTCAAGATCCTAGTTGCATTTTGATAAGCGTCTTGAATGCCTCTACGAAAAGGAGTGAGTTACATGGAAATTTCAGGCACCAGGCCATGATTAAAATAGGATATTTTTCTGGGTTTTCTGATAGGAGCATCTACACAATCCAGGCATATTTATAAACAATAAGGGCATGTTTGCAGAGCTAATTGAAACACTGCTATTTATTTCAAATTGGTATTCATGTTCTGCAAGAAAACAGTCAGGTTTCTGGTTTTAATGTCTTTCTGATTATTAAAGACAGTGCTCCTGGCATTAAAACTGCCACCTGCACACAGTTGAAACATTAGGGAATGAGTACAGAATTGGAAGCCAGAGTATTCCACGGCCCCATGACCACTGGTAAATCATTCCATCTCTCTGAGTTTCAGGATGGTAACGTCTGCTCCTTCTCCTGGGACGGGACAGCAGTAAGAAGCAAATAAAGTGATGAACTTGAAAGCACCTCACAAATTATAAAGCATTATGATAAGTAAAGAATTACATTATGAACTTGCTGATATTTTTAAGAGGGCAGGAAGTGAATAGAAGCTTTTTATGTCTACCAGCCCCCATGACTCTGATAATAGAATACAATAAACAGTGGTCAAGGGCATAGATACTTGAGCTCAGACAGACCTGAAGTGAAGTCCTGGCAATGTGACCCTGGGCGGATTACCTAACCCTTCTGGGCCTCGCTTTCCTCATCTCTAAAATGGGAATCAGGAATAGTCTCTACCTCCCAGAACTGTGGTAAGCATTAAGTGAGATAATGCAATTACAAAGTACTTGGCAGAGAACTTAGCAATATTTACCATTGCTCTCCCCCACCCCCACTCTGAATAACCTCTCAGACTCCTAAAAATGCAGACAGCAGATCACACATAAGTCACTCCTCCAAAAGGCTGGGTGGGAGCCCAAGAGAAAGTCCTCAATCTCTAGGTAAACATTTACAGCAAAAGCTCTGAGAGGACCCTGGAGCTTCATATTTCACCCAGAGCAGGCAGCATTTGGATCAGCTGCTAAAATAGAGCAAAATATCCTTGCAAGGATAGAAAATCTGCAGCTGACCTGTTCTTCAGATACAATTCCAAACCAAGTCCCCTCTGTGGAGAACCATGTGTGTAAATGAACCTAGGAGAATCTACCTCACTCTCTTTTACACACTGCAGTGATTAGGCCTCGTTAGCCTCTCATGTGGGGCCAGAATATCACAGAGAAGGTGAATTACATTGGCCTCAGGGGAAAGAACATGCCCCTTGCCCCTCATCCCTCACTGGCTGTTTCCTACAAGCCAAGAGCCTTCAGCTCACCAGTGTGAATGAAGGTGTGTTTTTTCATGTCTGACTTCTGATGGAACCTCTTGCCACAGTACTGGCAGGGGTAGGGCCGGGTGTCTGAGTGGATGAGGAGGTGTGTGGACAACGTCGATGACCTCTTGAAACTCTTGCCACAGATCTTGCAGTCAAAGCTCCGTTCCTGGGGAGAGAAAAATGTGGCATTCCTACTGCGGCCGTGCAGGCTGCCATACTCCTTGCCACGAACCTGACAAAGCCAGGGCTTTCCTTTCTTTCAGACTCCCTTTCCAAACAGCCTGTCCACTGTTTCCTTTCCTCAGGTGTACTTCCAACCTCTATCCTCCCCACCCTTATCCTCTTCCCCTTTAACATTTTTTCTACCCACACACTTTTCACCCACAACCCTCCACACCCCATGGCAAAAACGTATCCCCACCCTCTTTTTTGACACCCGTTTGTAATAACTTCTCCACCCTCCTCCACAGGAGGCTTAGACCTCAGTCACTTGAGATGCCCCCTCCCTCAGCCAGTGTGGGTGTTGAGGGAGATGAGAGAATGCTCCTTTTAGTAAACAAGTATCTGTAAGTAAGCATTGTCCTGTCATAATTACTTGTGTACTAATTTGCCTATCTACCTTCTGTCAACTAAACAGAATCTCGGGGCATCCTGTCAGAAACCGGTGTGTTAAAATATTCGCATGGGTCAACCACCTGGAAGCTGGGCAACAAGTATTTTAAACAAAGGAATGAAAACATAGCAGGGCAAACATGCCACTGGACGCTCTAAACAACCTAAGATCTCTCCTTTGCAGCTGTGTCAATGCAAATTAA